CGGAGGAAGAAAGAGCGAGCTTGACTGGCAGTAGGAACAGCCTGTGCAAAGGTGCAGAGGGGACTCAGCGTGTTCAGAGACCAGAAAGTGGCGGCTGGAGTGTGGGCGGGACGTCAGGGGAGGTGATGACCCCGAGTGAGGTCAGGATGTGACTCCAAAACGTTCCGAATGCTGAGCCAAGTTTGGACTTTTTCTTTTGGCATGGCGCCAAAAGCAGGAAGGAACCTGAGGGAACCAAAGGTGGGCAGTAGATGGGACAGGCTTTTGTGTCACCAGCAGGAGGTGCTGAGGTCCTGCGCAAAGATTGCTGTGGTGGGAGGGCGGGGCAGCCAGAGTGTGGAGGACTCGGTCTTTAGAGCAGAGACCAGGGAGGTGGAGATACTGAGGACTCCTGAGTTTTCTGGCTAAATGAACAGAGAGAGAATGAAGATGGGATGGGTCTGGGTGGAAGTGCGTTGTCGTGGCTGGGCAGGTAGACTTTTGAAGGACCAGCGTGTTACCCAGGGGGGCGAGTCCATCAGACAGCCCACGTGGGAGCCAGGTAAGGAGTCTTCTGTCCATTTTACAGGAGAGGAACTGAGGCTTCGTGAAGGGACATAAGACGTGCCCACAGTCACACTGCTGACTGGTTTAGGAAGTGCTGGGCTAACCTTTCGCTTACATAACCCTGCTTCCTTCTCAGAAGGAGCTGAGGGGCCTTTTAACTTTGGGCACAGGAGGGGCCCCAGCCAGGGTCCTTGAGCCTAGAAAAGAGACTTGAGAAGCCAGACCAAGTCAGAGTCTGGGGGTGTGGGGACTGAGGCTGCTGCTCTGTTGCAGGACCCAGACCACCTGTTTGAAACCATCTCACAAGCCATGCTGAACGCAGTGGACCGAGACGCCGTGTCTGGCATGGGCGTCATCGTCCACGTCATGTGAGTGCGAGCTGGGAGTCTAGAAGCTTTGCAGACGTCCCCTCCCGCCCAAACGCCTCATCTTCCCAGCCCCCCAGGCAGGTGTGAGATGAGGCTTTTGTGGCAGAAACAGGATAGAAATCCATGCCTCCTTGATGGGGGCGGCTGAGAGCCTGCCCAGGTTCCCCTGGCTTCTATCATGTGAGGCCCGCCCTGTGATCCCGGGTCTCTCCCCTTGTTCAGACTGAAAGGGTCCTTAAGGGTCCCCAGAGTCTCAGAAAATCTGGTGATATGCCTACTGTGGGTTGATTAAAATACTAGATGGCTCCCTTCCTCCCACCACGTCCCATTCGTGTAGAGCCCATCACTGCGTGAAGCACTGGGCTCCGGGAGCTGTTGCCCAGCGGTCTGTTTTCCTTCTGCTCTCTGACTGCCATCCCCGTTCCCTCCTGTTCGGGATGTCCCCAGCGCCCTGGCTGGACGAAATGTGTTCTCCCGCTGCTCTCCTTGGGTACATCCCAGAATGAGCACGGGGACCCTTTTGTCATGGGAGAGCCTGCTTAATTCCCAGGAAAACGATTGAGACTGACGGACTTTATGGCCCGAAGGTTCCTTTCTGTTCCTGGGTGAACCCCGTCCCATCACCTTCCCGAGCTGCTTGTTCTCTGGGCCTGGGGGAGCTCCTTCCCTTTGGAGGGCTTCCCAGTCCGCCCGGAACCATCTCAGCTCTCGACGGTCCCACCTGCGGAAAGCCTGCCCCAGTCACCCCGTTGCTCCATCCCCCCTCCTCCCTCAAGCTGAGGAAATGAGCAAACATTAATGTCCATGAGCGAAACAGGCAGAGCTGGTTAGGACGGCCACTTGGCCTACAGTCCTGATGTTTTGTGATTCTTTTCCCTCTGCAGTGAGAAGGACAAAATCACCACCAGGACACTGAAGGCCCGAATGGACTAACCCTGTTCCCAGAGCCCATGTTTCTGTTTGTTTTTGTTTTTTAAGTAAAATAGTTTTTCTTTCATTCCTGCTTGAGTCTTTCTCCGCAGCTCCCTGTCCCGGTCTGGGTGGTTACAAGCAGCTCCTCAGGGTACAGCGCAGCCCTGGGGTGTTCCGACTGGCAGCGTGTCCGCTGGCACGCAGGCGAGGACGGACGGTGTCTACACGTCAGTTGTCGAGTGCCTGCTGTGAGCCAGGCCCTGCCTGCATGAAGTGCCTTGTACATTCTGGAACTCAGTCATAGTGACTTAAGGTAGTTGACGTCCCCCTCACTGAAGGGCAGTTAAGTAAGTGGCTCAGGATCACCTTAACAAGTGGCAGCGCAAAGACGTAAACCCGAGTCCCATTTGGCTTCAAACCCTTTTCACTCAGCCCTCCTGGAAAACCCGTAAGTCCTGTCATTGATTCAGGTGGAGATCTGGCCAGGCACCCACAAGTAATACCCTGTCCATCAGTGTCTCTTAACCTTGGCTGCACATTAGTCACCTAGGGAGCTTCTGAAACAGATGATGGGGATCTCAGCCCTCAAGACTTTTTTAAAAATATATTTTATTGATTTTATGCTATTAGTTGTTCCATTTTCCCCATTTCACTCCCCTCCACCCGGCACACCCGCTCCTACCCACATTCCTCCCTTTAGTTCATTGCCATGTGTCTTATAAGTTCTTTGGCTTCTACATTTCCCATACTATTCTTACCCTCCCACTGTCTATTTTCTACCTACCATCTATGCTACTTATTCTCTGTTCCGTTTCTCCCTCTTCCTCCCACTCCCCTGTTGCTAACCCTCCATGTGATCTCCATTTCTGTGGTTCTGTTCCTGTTCTAGTTGTTTGCTTAGTTTGTTTTTGTTTTTGGTGTGGTTGTTAATCATTGTGAGTTTGTTGTCATTTTACTGTACGTATTTTTTATCTTCTTTTTCCTAGATAAGTCCCTTTAACATTTCATATAATAAGGGCTTGGTGATGAACTCCTTGAACTTGACCTTACTTAGAAGCACTTTATTTGCCCTCCCATTCTAAATGAAAGCTTTGCTGCATAGAGCAATCTTGAATGTAGGTCCTTGCCTTTCATGACTTGGAATACTTCTTTCTAGCCCCTTCTTGCCTGTAAGGTTTCTTTTGAGAAATCAGCTGACAGTTTTATGGGCACTCCTTTGTAGGTAACTCTTGTTTTGTCTTACTGCTTCGAGGATTCTCTCTTTCATTTTAATCTTGGGTAATGCAATTATGATGTGCCTTGGTGTGTTCCTCCTTGGGTCCACCTTCATTGGGACTCTCTGAGCTTCCTGGACTTCCTGGAAGTCTATTTCCTTTGCCAGATTGGGGAAGTTCTCCTTTATTATTTGTTCAAATAAGCTTTCCACTCGTGGCTGTTTCTCTTCCCCTTCTGGTACCCCTATAATTCAGATGTTGGAATGTTTAAAGATGTCCTGGAGGTTCCTAAGTGTCTCCTCATTTTTTTGAATTGTTTCTTCATTCTTTTCTGATTGAATGTTTCTTTCTTCCTTCTGGTCCACTCCATTTATTTGAGTCCTCGTTTCCTTCCCATCACTATTGGTTCTCTATACATTTTCCTTTATTTCATTTAGCATAGCCTTCATTTTTTCATCTAATTGGCGACCAAATTCAACCAATTCTGTGAGCATCCTGATTACCAGTGTTTTGAACTGTGTGTCTGATAGGTTGTCTACCTCTTTGTTGCTTAGTTGTATTTTTTCTGGAGCTTTGATCTGTTCTTTCATTTGGGCCTTTTTTTAATTTTTTATTTTTTGTCTTGACGCCTCTTATGTATGAGGTGGAGCCTTAGATGTTCACCAGGGCGGGGCAACCCAAGTTTCTGGGTTATGATGCAGTATGTGGGGGAGGGGTCGGAGAGGGAACAATGGCTCATGCTCCGCTCTCTGGATTTCAGTCACTTCCCCTGCTTCCCAGAAGCAAACTGGGCCCTTCTGGTGCTGATTCCTGGGTGGGCTTGTGTTTGTTCTTTGACCCCCGGGGGTCTCTCCAGTGAACTCCTGAGAGGTTGGGAGTCTCTCCCAGCACCTCAACCCCCCCAGGTGTTTTCAGTCGGTTTAGGCTTTATTTCCCCACGATGGGATCCTGGGTTGTGTCCTCTGTCTCACTCCCCAGTTTCACCTGGTTTTATCTGCGCAAATGTGGGGTCGCTGGTCCGCTAGCCGCCTTGTGCACCCTGCCCCTCCACAGTCTGCCACCTCCCTGGGTCCGCCTGCTGCCACCCCGTACCCCCGGGGCCCACCAGCCACCCCTTTGTCACGAGTCCTCTCCGCCCAGCTGCCTGACTCCATCCCTCCTACCAGTCTGGATGAATGGGTCCACTTTAACTCCTTGGTTGTCGGACTTCCATACAATTCAATGTTCTGTCAGTACTGGCTGTAAAATTTGTTTTAAAATTGTCCTTTTGGTTGTGCAAGGAGGCGCGGTGCGTTTACCTATGCCTCCATCTTTCTTGGCCGGAAGTCCTCAAGATTCTTATTTAACTGGCCTCATAGAGGGGCCTGAGCACCTGTCTTTTCTAAAAGTTCTCCAGGTGAGTCTACTTTGCAACCTATAGTAGGTGCCCTAATAAGCAAGTCCGTAGGCATAGCGGTTTACCAACTTTAGCCCCCATCACCTGGAAGGCTTGTTCAGACGGTCTCCGGTTCAGATCCGCAGAGGGACCCGACAGTTTCTGATGCTTGGATGCTGCCGGCTTAGGACCCCACTTTGAGAACCATTAGATTTTAGGCTAAGAGTCTGGACTGGATCCGAGGTCCATAGAGATGACGTGTCTTGAGTCAGCCCCACAGCTGTGCGTCAAGTGTGTATGGGGCTCCTGGCCGTGTCGGGTCCACACAGCTGGAGAAGGGGGGGGCAAATCGAGGTCCTCAGTTTGCACAGTGACACCAGCTAACAAAGCAGCTCCAGGGCCTTGCTCTTAACCAAGCGTGTTAACCACACCTGAAAGTGGGCCACCAGAGTCGGGTCTTTCTCCCAACGCCAGTCTTATGTTGATTTAGCCCAAGCAGCCTCTGATGCTGGGACCAAAACTTAATTTTGAAAACAAAGCAAAAAGCGAACGGCTCATTTCCAAAGGACTCTCACATAACAGATGTGTACACAAAGTTTTTTGAGTTTTATTTTCCTCGGGTTGGAGATTCATCTTAACACGCATGCATTTTAAAACAGTAACAGGGTCTCACGCTGTTCCGAGGAGACATTAGACAAGCACAGGGGGTGCTGAAAATTCCTATTTAAAAAATGGAAATTGCAGTGGGAAATGGAGAAGTCACACACATATGGTGGGGTGATAGTTTATCCTGCCCCCCCAAATTGAATCTCTACTTAATTCACATTTTCTTTATTACAATGGTCTGACCTGGTGCTTGGGTGTGCTGAGCGGCACCAGGCCATCCCCCAAAGGTTGTCGGTTCCTGCCTCCTCTGGAAGATGCCTCTCCAGCCTCCAAGGGATCTCAGCACCCTTCAGAGGCGGTCTTCGTAAGTGGCACATCTCAGAGGGAGGCGGGGGCCATGTCGCTGCCCCCTGCAGGTGGCTGGTACCTTTGGGGGCACTTACATGAAAGTTTTCCCTTTGATACCTGTGCTCAGAGTGGACTCCCCCTCCACACATTTCTGCCAGAAAAAGGTGAGATCCCTGGACTTAGAGCCACAGATCTAAGGCATCATCTAAACACTCCAGCCCCTCACGCACAAGTAGCTCAGACGCAGGGGAAAGCTGAGGTTGCTTCTCTCCCAACCTGAACTGGTAAAGAGACAGCTGGGGGGTGGGACTGGCTACTGAGAAAAGCCCTGGGTCTTTGGTCCCCCTCCCCAGAGCCAGGGCAGGCTCTGGCAGACTTCGAAGGGGGTCTCTAGGGCAGGGGTCTGTAGTCCCAGCCCTGAGTACCACCTAGAGCACAGGCGGGAGAAAGAAGTGAAGTAGGAAGAGCTGCCTGTGGTGGGAGTTTAGGGAGCGCCACTGAGAAGAGCCACAGGGGCCACTTGTGGCACCTGCCACAGACCAGTAACCCCTGAGCAAGATGAGGAGAGATGGAGCACTCCAGTCCGTGCTCCCGAACTGCTGGCTCCCCAGCTCCGCCCCGAACCTCACGCCTGGGGCTCAGGGAAGGAGCTCAGACTGGGAGGACGAAACCCCCTGGTTTCAGGAACAAGGGCCTGAGGCCATCTAGTGGTCTCCATGGTGTTTTCAGAGAACCCTTTGCTTTGGCTGGGAAACCAGTTTCTTAGCTGCAGACTCAGAACAAGGGCGGGGTGGGAGAAGCCCTGCCTTGTCAGGTAGTAGTAGAGGGACCGGGAGGTGGGTCTTGCCCTTCGCCACCCCCCACCCAGACCTCACCCTGGCAGCCATGTCCTGTTCTTACACCTTCATTCTGGGGACCCAGAATTACACCAGGCTGCCAAGTTTCACAGCCGCGAAGAGTGAGGTTGAGGGTGGTTACTTCCCTTCAGATCCTTCTACTGCTCAGAAAGGGTATGGTGGGATTTGGGGAAAAAGTGGGGGCAGACAAATCTTGGGGGTCAATTCGCTTTCTCTACATTCAGACTGCAAACCAAATATAGTATCTTCATCATTATAAAAAAAGAGAGAAAGAAAACTTGTATAAACCAAGATAAATAGCTTTTAAACATCTGAATGCCAAAAGAATTAAGAGGGCCAAACCCAAGGCTTTGAAAGGAGCACAAAGACCTTTAAAAAACAAATCTAAAATTGACCAAACTTCAGCTCAAATATTCTGAGCCAATCAACAACACTGTCAGAAACACAAAAGAGCATCTGAAATAGGGTGCTACTCAAAATGTAAACAATGTATAAAAAACCCCCACAAAGACGCAAAACTCAACATTAAAGAAGTTAGACACTGGGTAGCTTGTCTTGAACAGACAGGACTGGGTTACTCATCCGCGTTGGGGCCACATGATCAGCAGACCAAATGCAGGCGGCCGCGCTGCCCCTTTGGAGATGCTGGGCCTATGAGCAGATCCAAATTTTCGTTCTTGATTAGAAGGTGGGGAAATCAAGTCCAAACATTATTCCTATATAATCCCTTCCTAAGTCAGTTCTGTTTTCTCCGAGCCACTTGGTTTCAAGTCCTTCCCCAAGTCATCTCATGGTCTTACTGCTGATGCTCTGAGCTACCTGTGGCTCCTCCATCTGCCTCTTCCAGAAGGGTCCCAGCAGCCCCAGGAGTCCAGAAATACCGTCCCCGTTCCTTCCTGACTGAAGTGCTACAAGTCAGGCCCGGGGACTGTGCTGGTTCCTGCTCCAGAAGCTGAACTTGGCCAGGTTTGGAGGGAGCCACAGGAAACCAATCCATTCATTTAAAATACTGCCACAAACTCTCTTTGCATCTGTGGGACGTCATCACATCTCATCCTAAATCCCCAGTCCCTGGTGAGGGGTTGAGAAGATACAGGGATGTATCTCCCCCAGCGCCAGGCTGTTTTCTCTCCCGCCAGACCACACTGCTCAGATATCACCACAGAATGACCCTCAGTTCAATTCTGAGGCCGGGACAGCCAAGAGGCTCAGACGGTGGGTGGAGCTCCTGAAGGAAGAAGCTGCAGGAAGCCACACCTGAGGAAGCCTGTCGGTGGCGGATGTGCTAAAAGTCTAGGAGGGGCATCAAGGAAAAACAGCCCTGAGGCTGGGCTCAGGTCCGATCCTACCTCAAACCTCCAAACTGGATTTCCTGGGTCACATCCTCAACTGATCCAGAAATAGCCCCAGGCTTGGGTGCCATACTCCACGGCAGGCGGCATTGCTCCTGCTGGCTCCAACGTCCAGGTGGCAAACGTCAGGCACAGGGCGTCAGGTTACCTACATGGTGGCCCGAAGAGGAATCTCTGCAAGGAGCACCCAGGTGCCTGGAGGTGGGCCCCCAGCTGTAAGCTCACCTACAGGTGAGGGTGCCTGGGAGGTCAGAGGGACGTACGTGCATGGGGGCCACGAGCCCTCATCTGATTCTCATCAGCTTCAGCTTCTGGGGTTTCTCCAAGGGAACAAAACCATTCAAGCACAAGAGTCCTCCTTTCTAGTTCTTCTTGACAAAGTGGGAGGCAGGCCTTAAAGAGAAGACATCAGAACTCCAGGGGCCAAGAGAGCGCAGGGGCTTGAGCGATGATCACGAGGTTCTTCGAGAACCCGCCAACCCGCCGTCCAGAGCCCGCAGCAGCCCCCACCCCTCACCATCCCGTGAGGGTGAGTGCGCTGCTCTCCGAGCTCCGTGCTTCTGCTCCGAGATGACTGATGCTGAGCTGGAGTGTCCCAGCAGGAGGGCAGCGTTCGGAGGAAGGGGTCCCTGGGACCCGAGAGGAAAGGTGCAGGGAGTTGTGCACAACACTTCATGAAATTAGAAAGTTAACGCAGCAGGGCTGAGGTGTCTGACCTCCTCTCCTCGGGCGTCAGAGCACTTGGCTCTGAGGGGACCCTCGGCCAGGTCTGCAGGGTGCTCTGTGACGGAGGGGACTCGGCAGGGGTGGGAAGGCAGGTAGGGCATGACATACACCATTATAAATAATAGACCTGGAGCAACAAAACTTCAGAAAAACCCAAATAAGCCCATAGTCACCTCTAGCCCCAAGGTATTTTAAAAGGCTACGAGATACCAAAAAGGAAACCCTGGGTCAGATTGGGGGGGGGAGCAAAGGTAGCAGGGGGTGAGGCTACACCCTGTGAGCACGCACACACAGCACATCCCCTCCCCCTGGAGCCTCACCCAGCGTCACAGGTACAGTCTCACGGCTAAAGCCCTCCCCGCCCCTACTCTGCTCCCACCCCTCCTCCCATGTAGCCCAGATACACCCTCGCCCCGTTCCAACCCCCGGCCCTGCATCTCATCCTCTGGCTCTGGCTGAAGGTAGAAGGTCACTACGTCAGGATGTTGGACATGAACTCATTGAAGCGTTTGGAGTACTGCTCAGGGTTCACAGTCGAGATCTCAGCCCCCGCCTGTAAGACACAGAGGCTGATCAGATCCAGCTCCTCAGCTGTTGTCGGCAGGCTGCACCTGGCAAAGGCCTGGGTATTCAGGAGCCTTGGGACCGGCACTAGAGCTGAGTACAACCCCTCAGACTGGGCAGACCACCTCCAAAAGTGGTGGCTGTGTCTCGGAATTGCCCTGGCCCCTCCTCTGATTCACATCACTAGAGCTTCACCCACTAAAGTGGAGGCAAGCGCTGGGGAGGCAGCAGACAGACTCCGGATCTCTGAGGGAGCCGTGGTCGGGAGAACAGTAGCTTGAAGTCCACGGGGCAGTGGACCTCCGGGGGGCAGAGTGGGCATGTGAATAAAGCTATTGCTGGAGGTCCACAGGATGCACCACGTGCCCAGCAGGTTGGGGAAAGATGCCATTGGGCTGAGTCTCAAGGGCCAGAGGATGAAGGAAAAAACAAGTTGGGCGTACTACCCAGGGGTGGCACATGGGTGGCAGAGAACACCAGGCAACCAGGCAGCGTGCTCTTCCTGTCCCCTGTCCTGGGAGAGGGGGAGGGGGTCTCCCTGAGCAGGGGCCTGAGTCTGAGGGCCCGCCCGCTCGGCCTGGCTGGCGCAGGGAGAACTCACCCCGTGTTTCACTGTTTTGGCAGCATGTGCGGCTTTCTTCTTCGTGTCATAGGGTGTGAGGATGTCAATGATGGCCATGAAGTAGACCTCCTTCTTGGGGGCACCTGGAGGGGAAGCAGCAAGGAGGAAGAGGTGGCAGGGGGAGAGCAGAAAGTGGCTGGGTCCGTGACCCTTCAGACAGAGACCCAGACTGATCCCTATCACTTTGGATCTGAGGGACAAAACGACTACTGGAGTCCTCAGAAGCTTTCCTAGCTCTTCTCTTGGTTGGTTTTCACAGCTCCCGATGGGGAGATGAGAGTATCTGTAAGAGTCTGTCCCTCCCATGAACCAGAGAACCATGCATCAGCCAGGACGAGCAGAAAGGGGACGCAAGGCCTGATGGAGAAGGACCCCCAGGGGCCAGCAGACAGAGCTGTGATGAGGACTCACTACGGGAGCCCAGACGTAGAGAGGCCACAGTCGGCAATCACTGAGGTGGCGGCCCAGATCCCACCGGACATCTACACAACTGGCCGGAGGTGGGCAGGGCCGGCATCGCCTCCCACTTACTTTCATGGCTTTTCATGGCATAAACATCGACAGAGGGATCGAACTCCCCGGGACCGAAGAAGCGAGGAAAGCTGAGGAGGTTGCCGGGGCTGTCGGGGGGTGTGCCGTAGGAGCAGAGCAGGCTGCCGCCCACCCCGTCGTTCTCGCACTCCTCGTCCTCCGCCCGCTCCTCCACCTCCATCTCCTCCTGCTCCGCCCGGTCCACGTCGTGGATGCCCACCAGCAGGCTGTAGTCCATGATCTTCAGCTGGGCCAGAAACTGGGGTGCAGGGGGCACGGGAAGGAGAGAGAGGAAGAGGTTACACGGGACATCCCAGTGGCGTCTGAAAGGGGAGAAAAGCGAATCCTTTCAAATCGGTCCTCCAACTCTGAAGCACGTCAGAGAAGACGACGGCAGAGTCTCTGCCCTCAGGGAGCTCAACGTCGAAAGGCGAAGGCAGCCGCCCCACAAGGGCAGGGAGCCTGCGCGGTGAGGAGCAGGCAGGCGGGTGGGGCTGTGGGAGGAAAGGCGGACTGAGCGTGGCAGGAAGCGGGGACAGCCACACGATCTGGGGCCAAGAGAGGCAACGGCCAGTTTGAGGACAGACATAGGAATGCTTCACTGCACAAGAGGCCAGAGAGATGGACCGACACCGCAGTGCCTGTCAAACCATGACTGTCAAGCCACTGTGAACGCCAAATCCAACTCAGTGGGTGGCACTAGGATTTTTTTAATTATTATTAAGTAGTACAGAACAGAGTTAAAAAATCAAGTACATAACATGAAGTAAAGGTAGATAGTATTTCATTGTGTCTGTGTGTGTTCGGTTGCAAGGTAAAATGTACTTCTAACTGTGGGTAATAGGCAAGGTTTGAAAAACTATACAATTTAGCTTCTTTACTAGTCAGGGTAAAAATGGGGAGAAACAGAAAAGGAAACGCTAAGAATGACAGAGCCAACCAGCATTCTCAACTCTTCCCTCAAGGTCAAAGAGGCTGTGTGCTGCAGGGGGGAATGCTGGGGTCCTCCCCTTGCACTTGTGGCCCCCCCACCCCCGACAAGCCTCAGTTTCTCGTCTACACAATGTCGTTGGGAGCAGCATGGCACCTCGGGTCTGCTGATCTGGGACTCCATGACCTGGAGAAGAACAGAGTGCAGGAATGATACAAGATGGAAATAGCCGGCCAGCATTCCAGCATGGCTAACAGTGACGCCGGAGGCACTGGTCTAAATCCTCTTGGACTAGCCAGCAGCCACCACCAGCCACATGCCAGGCATTCTGCCTTGGCCACAAACAGAGCCTGTGGCACCATGAAACTGCCCAACTGACCACCGTGACTAAGGAACTAGGAGGAAAATTATAATGGGACCAGAGAGGCTCTACACACAGGCCCAGAAAACAACTCAAAGCACAAGAAGCCCCAGTGGCAGGACATCAGCAGAATCTCCTCAGTGGAGAAAGAAAGGCGGGGGCACCGTTGCAAGCTCCTTGGGACAAAGCCTCCTCAAGGCCTAGAGGAGACAGCCCGTGACCACACCCCCTCCCATGCACCGGAGAATACTCACACAGCAACGTGTAAGCGAAAACAAATTCATTAAGAAAACTGCTGTAAATTCTTCTTAGAAGCAAAGTGGGGAGAGAAGCAGGAAGGGAAGGAGGACTGAACAAACTGAACATCAGAATAAAGGCACAAACTCTGCCGTACCCTTCACCATTCCCTGTTCTGCCGTAACAGGGAATGGTTAAGGAAAACCTCCCTGGCAGAAAGAAGCCTGTAAAACCCGCGTTCACGGCAGAATTACTCAGTGAAGCGACTCCAGTGTGACGGTCAGTGTCGTGTGTCACCTGACCGGGCCACCAGGTTCCCAAACGTTCAGTCAAATATCACGGAGTGCGTTTGTGAGGGTACTTATGAATGAGTCAACATCTGAATGGGTAGAGTAGCGCAGACTGCCCTCCCTACCCTGGGCGGGCCTCATCCAATCTACTGAAGGCCCGAAGGGAACAAAAAGGCCGAGCCTCCTGGGAGTAGAAGGAAGCTTCCCCCTCCCACCTGCCTCCGAGCTGGGGCAGCGGTTTTTCCCCTCCCCAGATGCAGACTCTCGCAGCCTCTCTTTCGGGGCATCGGGCCTGCGGGCCTCTGGACTGACACCACGCTGCCAGCTCTGCTGGTCCCCAAACTTGCCAGCTGTAGGTGTTGAGGCTTGTCAGCCTCCGTGATCATGTGAGCCAATTCCTTATAACACACATGTACCTACCTGTCAGTCAACCTATCACTCGATCAATCTGTCTGTCTGTCTGTCTGTCTGTCTGCAGCCTGCAGGTTCTGTCTCTCTGGAGGACCCTAACCAGCCCACCCAAAGTCCCCGGGGGCATGAACGGGCGAACACAACTCGCTCGTGCCGTTGCACACACATGACGGGGAAACACTCAGCCTCAGAGAGGAAGACCGTTCCGACACGTGCCACGTCACGGACCGTCAGATGTTACAGCAAGTGAAAGGAGCCACACACAGAACAAAGACTGCACGATTCCACTCGTGGGAGGCTCCTGGAGGGGTCACTTTCATAGACACGGGGACTGCCGGGGCCAGGGAGCTGGGGGATGGGCGTTGATGTTGAACGGGTACAGAGTTTTAGTCTGGGACCAAGACGTTCTGGAGGTGGATGGTGGGGATGGTGGACAGCAGTGTGGATATGCTTAATGGCACTGAAATGTACACCTAAAAAGGTTGAGAAAGAAAGCATTTTTAAGAACTTTATAGGGTTTGGTTTCAATGAGCAGGCTCCCACTGTATTTAAGCAGAAGGAGACACTGAGTCACCAGGTGGCCCAGCTGTCACATTCACTACTGAACCCCGTCTGAGCAGAGGAGCTCCCCCGCCGAAGGTGGAAGGTCAGCGGAGGACTCGGGCCAGTGAGAGGCACGGCTGGCGGGTCTCACCGCTGGTTTCCTGCTGCCCGGTGGGAAGCAGGGTGGGAACCACTGAAAGGAAGCCTGAGGGAGTCTGCGGAGGAGCTGGAGCAGGTGAGGAAAGCTGACACACTGTCCCCACACGAGACGTTCACCCGCACCACTGCTGGAATCACCACCTTCCTTTCGTCCACTACTCTCGGGAAGCAGTGACTTCAGTTTTTCTTAAAGAGGCTCCTGCTCTGCAGAAAAGGGGTCCAGCTCAACTAAGCTGAAAACGAGGTTAGTAGGTACCTCTACGTCCCGTTTCAGTTTTTCCAGGAAGTTCTTTTTACTCTCCTCTCCCACGTGCAACTTCTGCCCTTCGTTGAGGAAGTCATTGTCTTTGAATGTTGGCAAGTCCTTGGCCTGGGAGAACAAGAGCGGTGTCAGCGGGGTGGACTGACCGCTCCCCCAAGGACCCCTGCTGGAGACCGTCGTATAGAAAGGGGCAGGGTCTTCAGAGCACAGGTGATCAACCTTCCTGATCAGCAGCTCGGCTCAGGGGGCTGCAGACCCAGGCTCTGGGTCAGCGGGGGTGGCAGATGTGTGGCGCATGCCCAACGTGAGGGCTGACCAAAGCTCGCCCTCCTGCTGGGCCTGGACCACCTCAGGCTGCACCTGACATGGACACCGCTGACCTCCAGGACTATGAAGAATCCGCAAGGCCAGGGGTAAAAGGCTGAAGGCTAAGGCCAAGGCGGAGGCTAGGCAGGTGCCCGGTGACACAGAGCTCTGACAGGCTGCACGCCTGGAAAGTGGGCTGGGGGCTGTGAGGGAGGAAGGAGCGGGGTGGCCGACAGGAGACTGCATTCCGAGCGACCCGTCCCACCCTGCAAGAGCAGCAGCCCCAGCATACCTTCTCCTTGTCACTTGCTTCTCTGGCAACAGTAGAACCCTGAAAGGACAAGAGCCATCAGGAGATGTCCGGCTGAGGTGAACTCCACCGCACCAGTGGAAGGTGGGAAAATGCACCAGTCTGGGCAGAGGCAGCAGGTGAACTGCGGCAGGCTGGTTAGAGCCCAGGATTGGCCAGGAGGCAGCGACTTGTTCACTCCCCGTCACAGACTGTTCACAGAGCTTCGACTACACATAAGGTGAGTGTTCAGGAAACAGGACTGTGCCCAGAGACTCAGTCCCGGGGGAACATTCCTTCTGACAGGGAAGACAGGCATTAAGCACTAGTTACAAAATTAATTAATCCATTAATCGCAATGGTGCTAAGTGGTGTGGGAGAGGAGACAGGATGACACTGAGAGCTGGGAGGAGAGGCCCGGGGTAGAGACGGACACCGGCCGAGGCCTGCTTCCCGGAACAAGTGACGTTTGAGCTGAGCTCAGAAGGGTGAGTAGGAAGTAATTAGGTGGGGGGTGCAGGTAGAAAATGGGCAGGAAGGGAGACAACGCCAGGCAGCCCCGGTGGGATCTGGGGACGAGGAGAGCGCAAGCACTGCAGGGACGGACAGGACACGGGTGTGGCTGCAGCAGACACAGGGACGGCGGCGTGAGGCGACTGTGAAGCCAGGAAGTGAGGTTCCAGAAAGCGCAGCACTGGGGTTCCCAGGCACAAGTGTGTTCTTTTCCGTGCCTGGAAACGCATCTGTGCCGTCAGTCCGTGGGGCCTGGACAGAGGCCAGAGGGCACGCACGTGTCTGAACAGCCTGTCCCGTGCTGCTGCCCTTCCTGAGCATGTCCCACTGACAGGAGTTGAAGAACGTAAATATGGCACATTGGGGGCTTAAATACCCTCCTGTCACTGTCGCCTGAACTTCAAGCAGCCTTTGCCCCACAAGAATTAGGCCTAGCAACTCGAGTCACCTGTCCACGCCATGCATTCTGGCTCTCCCATTACGTGGCCGTGGGAGTCGTGGCCCTTCTGAGCCTCGGGGGCAGAGCAGCCACACAGCTGGGAACAGAGCCTCTTACCTTGAGGTCGTACTTGCGGTGCACAGTGAGCCGATGGCTGAACACATTCCTGGTGACCACCATGTAGGTTTCCACCCCATCCACGGTCAGGCGGTACATGCCCAAGAACTGGGGCAAAAGGGTGTTGCCATGGCACTCCACGATGAACTGCAAAGGGAGGGAGGCAGGTTAAGGAGCAGAGGAAGGTGCTGGGACGGACGGGGTCTCCCCGGCGAAAACACTCCCTGCCTGGGATTCCAGACTGGGTTCTGTGAAGTCACAGGGTTGCTCAGACTAACAACAGGCAACTGCCTGCCCGGCCCCCCCCCCCACCAACTAGCATAACAGCGCCAGAGGCTGGGCAGGCACCGCAGGGCCCTGCGGTCTCATCTTTGTGGGATTCCACTGTAGGAAAATCACTGATCTAGGCCTTCAGCGCCCGTGGCCTCAAATAGGAAAGCCACGGGCAAAGAGGGGCTGCGGAGGCCGGAGTGTGATCGGGCTGTCCGAGAAGACAGCATGGCTCCAGACCGAGAGCCCCTGCCCACACCCTGCCCTGCCTGGGGTTTTTCTGCTGCAATGCCCAGGAGGCCAGAAGGCCGCCTCACTGCCTCTCAGACGCCCCAGAGAGAAGCCCGTTTTCTCTGAAGGCCCAAGCGGGCTGGGGACAGGCACTCAGATATGCCACGGCATTGCCCAACCTTCTCACGGACAAACTCCAGATGAGTGGGGAGTCAGCACGGAGGGAAAGAGCCCCGCGGAGCCGACAGGACCTCCTTTAGAAGACACGAGGCAGCTGCCAGAGGGTGAAAACTTCCCAAGTCTGGCAAGAAACAGCTGTTCAGCTGCGTCTGAGTCAGTAACACGCCTTCGTGTCTCCTCTTAAATTGCTTCCAAGGGGCATTTCTCCTCCCAGAAACACGGTACCAGGGAGGGCGCCGTGCTTCTATCGGCAGCTACCTGCCCCTACCAGAGGACCACCCTCTCTCCAAGACGCTCCCCCAGGGCCCCTACTGTCCAGGCTCGGGACTCACCGTACCTGGTGGTACTTCTTTAAGATGTTGTGCATCTCAGCCACATCCTCACTTGACACAGTCTTGATGACAAAGCGCCGGTCGTAGGTGGTGAGGAAGCGTGTGCCACATCGGCCCTGGCTGTCACTGTTGATGGGGGCGCTGCGTGTCACCGAGTTCTGACGGACCGAGACAAAACAGAGCCAGTCCAACTTGCAGGCTGAGTCTTCTATTACGGGCCAGACTGCTCTGAAGCCGGCACCGCTGAGACGGATGGGACCTCGCCCACCCCTTTTCTCATGGGAAGTTTCTCCTAAAAGTCCTCCTTCGGAGTGACGATGGTTGTTCCCAGTCCCCGACTGGGCTGGGAAGAGGGGCCCTGTGAAACAGCACCTCTCATCCCCAGCCCAGATAGCCACCTCAGACGTCCGGGAACTGGGTCCCAGGCCTGCCACTCACATGCGATAGGACCCTCGGGGGAGCCACCCCACTCCTCCACTCCTGAGTCCCCTCACCTGGAACTCGAGGAGGCAGACTGAGATGATTTCCCAGTCTCCTGGGTGACAAAGACAAAGCTTAAGAAATGGTCCAGAAGTCCAGCATGAAGAGGCGATGGACACAGTCAGCCCCTTGCCCTGGACACACCCCGAGGCCAGAGAACCCTCCCCCAGGCAGAAGACTGGTCGTCACCCCTCTGCCCAGCACCGCTCGCTCCCTGCTCGTCGGTGTAGGGCCGTGAGGCAGCTCCGAGGAGCTTCTCTGGCTCTGTTCCTGCTCAAGACCCCACGCCCACTGGGATCAGGGAGCAGCAGAAGCCCCTGGAGAGAGAAGGGGAAGGTGCGAGCCAACCCGAGGGATGTGTGCATCAAGCGGATGCCAGGAGAAGCCCTTTGGGAGGCGAGATAGGGAGGGACATCCCATCTGTCCCTCTTCCCAAGAAAACACATGGCAATCTGCTCACAGAATTGTCTCCTCTCTAAACTTCTTGTCTCTTACCTAGGGGCGGACTCTTAACCTTCACCTAACGCCTCCTCATGAGGAGCACCACCTTCGTGGAGGAGACTAAAGTCTGAGGTGGTGAGCAGCCCCCAAGACAGAGTGTCCCCAGTCTGGAAATGCTGAGTGGACTACGTGACAGAGGCGCTCACTCTCCCGGCCTGGCCCTTCTGCCAGGGAGACTTCAAGGCCTCCAGCCCGGCGGGAAGTCTAGTCCTCCCCCTGCCTCATCTTCAGGCAGCCTTCTCTGACCCCCCTCAACCACGGGTAGTCCAAGAGCTTGGAGTCCCTCCCTGCACACCGTCCTCCCTGTCCCAATTTCGGTCTTGGGCACAGCCATGTGCCCACCAGGCCATCAGAGAAACCAGACGCTGCGACGAGGCGGTCAGATGGCCAACGGGAGGGGAAGGCGCCACAGAGGAAGGAGGTCTGAGCAGGTTACTGGGGTGGCAACGACAGCAAGAAGTTTACAGAAAGTCCCAGGCCCCAAGCAGGTCACGATTCCATTTAGGATTTGGTTCTGACGGAAGGGGTCACCGGGACCTCCCAGTACCTCTGAGACATTCCAGACGGCCCAAGTCCCCCTCACAGCCTCTCGCCCTCCTCTTCAGGACACACATCTTTGCAGGAGGCCTTCCGGAGTGGAGGAGTGGGGCTGGGGGGAGGCTCACCCCATCTGCTCATCGTGAACTACTCTGGGGAAGGCCTCCTGGGAGTGGGGTGGAGGAATTAGTGTTTTATAAGCCTGGGGCACCTACTGTCGATCTCACTAGGCTGTACACCCCACCTCCCCCCACACCACAGGCAATGGAAAGTCAGCTCTATTTCCTCCTGCTACAGAAGTGAAGTGGGAGATTCCCCCACCTTCACCACCAGGCTGTCCGTCGAGGGAAGAAGGTCCAGGGAAGGTGTGAGGCGGGGAAGTAACAGACTGTAAACGAGACTATGATGTCCCTGATACCGGGACTGATTCCTCCCAACGGGACAAGGTCCTCTATGACATTATCACCCCCCAAAGGGGGCCATTTGCCTGCCATACCTGGCCCCCTCCCAACACCAGGACAGGGGATAAGTTTAGGGGGTGGTACTCATACCTGGCAAGAGGTTACACTACCCTTGAAGTCTTCCTTTTCTAATCTGTCTTATCTGCTTTAAGAGGCCTCATCTCTCGCTGGCAACAATTCTCTCTCTTTTAAGTCAAACTACGAAGGAGGAGGGTTCTTCCGCCTAGACTGGGAACGTCAGACCGTAGTGAAACATCTTCCATACGCCCCTCCCTCCCTCTCTTCTCCAGCCCCGGCGCGGCAGCCTGAGTCTGGGAGGCGTCATAAGGAGCACCGAGGCCCTCACCCTCCACGGGCCCACCACCATGGAAGGAAAGACTGCCTGGGCCGGACAGAAATGTAACAGGAGGACACAGCACAAGAACAGTGGACACTTTTTCTCCACTTGTCCTGTGGCTGCCCATCCCCACTCCACTTGCCGAGCCCTCTGATTTCGCAAGGACGCCAGTACCTGGTAATCCTGATCGTCAATCCCAAACCTTTCCCGAAGATTTCGGAACACCATGGGGCAGTACTCCTTAAACTTAAAGCGGCTGGGGAGGTTCTCCCTAGGGAAAAGCAGAGACATATCTCTGTGAACGTCCTCTTGCCCATCTTAGTTCTCCCAGCAGAACGCTCCAAGAGCGGTCCACAGATCACGGGGACTGAGCAATCTGCAGCACTCTCATGAAGTTTCTAGGACCCAGAAATTCGGGACGTGAGTCTGGAAAAGTTCGTTTTTAAACACTCCAGGGGATTCTGAGCCTATAAAAGCTAGAAAACTTTGCATACCTTGTGTTTACTTCATAAAAATTAATCTAGCTGTACACTTATAATCTGTGCACGTTTTTTGGAGTGCATGTTACCTTTCAATAACATTTCCATTAAAGGAAACAAACCTTACCCGCCAGGAGGTAAGGCTGAGTGCAGACCCTACCCCACAAGCACTGCACTTACTCCGGCTGGTCCAGCTGCTGTGGAGTGACCACCAGTCTGACTGCTAGAGGGAGAGGCCTTTCTCCTGCGAGAGCCCCTCTCCTCTGGGCGTGTCCCTATCAAAACGCCCCGGTTATGTGCAGCAAGCGGCCTCCTTGGCTTCCACTGGGATGGAGAAGGAATGCACTCTAAGTTGGGATCCATCCTCTCACGGAGCCTGTTTGCTGGCACCGGTCCCCACCCCACCCACTCGGCAGTCACCCCGCCGGCTCCCAGGAGGGGAGAGAAGCCCCGAAGTGGTGCCTCCTCCAAAGCTTCCCTGTTGGCAACAGTCACCCTGCTTGGGAGCTCCCTTTCAGAAGAAATGTGTCCCTCTGACTCCTCCAGGACGACAGACTTCAAAGAAATCAAAAGCAGTGGCTTTCATGAGTCAAACTGGCCAACCACCATTTTAAGTCTTATTGAAGAAGTTATAAATAAATAAATAAATAAATAAATAAATAAATAAATAGCAGGAGCTTCTCCTGAAGGCAGACTAGTCTGCCTTATTGTACCCCGTCCTCTAGTATCACAGAGCTGTGTTTGATAACTGGCACATAAACAGTCACTGCAAGGACGAAAGGCATAAAGAAGGATAAAATAAGATAAGAGATTGGATGCTCTGCTTTAGACCAAGATGTTAAGATGATGGAACTTCACCAGAGGTTACGGACCCGAAAATGGGCAGTGGTACAAGGCCCAGTCCCAGGGCCCTGACCTTTGGGACAGAACAACATTCTTTCCTGCCTCCCGGTGGAGGGCTGGTTGCCTCTCCTTGTTCAGGTGGTGTGACATTGTGATGTACCGATAACAAACCAGCCCTGGCTGCTGTGGCTCAGTGGACTGAGCGCTGGCCTGCCAACTAAAGGGTCACCAGTTCAATTCCCAGTCAGGGCACATGCCTGGGTTGCAGGCCAGGTCCCCAGTAGGGGGCACTCGAGAGCCAACCACACACTGATGTTTCTCTCTCTCCCTCCCTTCCCCTTTTTAAAAAAAATCAATAAATATGTTTTAAAGTATAAACCATATTTTACTGTGTATAATGTGTTCCCATATATAATGCACACCCACATCTTTGGCCCAAACTTTCAAGAGAAAGAAATCTTTTGTTTTAATTTTTTAATTCAATTATTTACTTATTTATATTTAGAAACAAAACCAATTATTGTATTCCAGGGTATATAATACCCTGGATACAGATATTGTTATTGATTTCTAGAGTTACACTTTTAATGCATAAGCATAAATAAAAGAATTAAAAACATTTATAAAGATAGGGAATTAGTACCAACCATGTACAACGCGCACCCTTATTTCTCCCTCAAAAATTTGGGCAAAAAAATGCACTTCGTACATGGCAAAATATGGTATTTGGTTTTCATTCCTGTTTCTGACACAGGGCTCCTCAAACCTTTGCAATGTTTTAAGTGATAAGAGCAATATAGGTGCCTTTTGTTATTCATAACGAGCCCCTTTCAACCACACCTGAGTTTATTTTAGTGAGGTGGCTTCTGGAAAGCCTCTAAGGATGAGTGCGGTTACCAGGGCAACCAACCAGGACTACAGGGTTGGAATTTTCAGGCAGGGGAGAGTGGCTGGAGGTTGAATCCTTCCCCAAAGGCCAATTATTTAATTAATCGTGCCTTCATAATGAAGCCTGAATAAAAATCCAAAAGGACTTGGTTCAGAAGCTTCCAGGTTGGTGAACATGTGGAGGGGGGCACATGGAGAAAGCATCGAAAACTCCACACCCTTTCCCCGCACCTTGCCCTGTGTATCTCTTCCGTCTGGCTGTTCTTGAGTTGTAATCTTTAATTCTAAACAGTAATCTAGTAAGTAAACTGTTCTTCTGTGTTCAGTGAGCCAGTGGAACAAATTAATTGAATCCGAGGGGGAGGGTTGTGGGAACCTCCAATCTGTACAGAAGCACAATCTGGCCAGAAGCACAGGTGACAACCTAGACTTATGACTGGCATCTGAGGTGGGGAGGCAGCGGTTTTGTGGGACCGAACTCTAAATTCATGAGGCCTAACTTGAACTGCAGGACAGCCAGCTGGTGTCCGACAGAGTGTCAGTAATGTGAGAGCAGAGGAGAAACACAGGGGAGTTTTTCTTCTGTACCGGTGGCCACTTAGCAAGCAGCAGCTATGAAGACAGCCTCTCAAATAAAACGTCACTACTATGGCAGAGAGAGGTCACTAAGGGCATTTTCAAATCAAGCTTCGCCTCCCAGCTAACAGACTGAGGTTAGTGGGGTGACAGAGCCCAGCTGGTGAGGTGGTGGGGACTGTGGAACAATGGAGAGTGGAACCAGGATTCAAATGCAGAAAGGAAAAGAGTGTGAGCAGCAAACAGTCCGTGGGGTGACCCACAGTGGCATAGAAATCAAGGCCTCCGCATGGCTTAGAGCAGGCCCCAAACTGCTAGGTGAGACGGCTGCTTCACTGAAGCTGGAGACAACCTTCAGACCCCAGTGTCAATCCAAGGAGCCACAGTGAACAAATGCAGGAAGGGTGACTTTGGACAGCACCCTCGGGCACCATGCTCAGCCTCTGGTTCACACACCAGCAGAAGGGGAAAGAACTTGGCTGCGTCCCAGGCCAGGATCACGCCCAGCAGCTTCTTGCCTCAGACTAAGATCAAGATCAAGATGGGGCCACTGCCGTCAGCCTCACACCAGACACCTCCACTCCCGACCAGCTCACCTCTCCCCACACTGGCCCTCGATGAATCACCCAGGACTGGGCCACGTGCCCCGAGGGCAGCGGAGACAGGCTGATACCAGAGTGAGATGACCAGACAAGCGGGGAGAGAGGCACACAATGAACGCATTTTTCCAGCCAGTTGTGGGCTCTGTGATCCAGGTGTCGCTGTCACACCCTGCCAGGGGCCGGCTTGGCCTGCCTTTCACCTGGCCCTTCACAAGGTTTCAGAAGCTCTCTGCCCTGAGGGAAAAGTCTGCCCACAAATCCTACTCAAATAGGCAACTTACTTATTGAAGAGGTGATTGTCCACCTTGATCTTGCTGTATGCTTTGAAGTCATCTGGCATTAGCATAACAGGGACAGGGACATTGCTCAACTCATTGATCTGCAAAGCAAGGGGAAAGTGAGGTTCTCAGCAAGGAGGCCACCTGCCTCGGAGAGATGTTACAATGTGGATGCCACCATCTCACCAAAACACAAGTCTGCAGACTCCCCCCTGGTCATATTTCTGCTCTTCTCTTCAAATAAGTTCCCAACCTCATTTCCACCTACTGAAATTCTCCCCACCCGATATGGTCCAGCTCAAAAGGCACCTCCTCCATGAAGCTTTCCATGACTCTAGACCACACGTTCTTTCCCATCTTAGAATGCCTGGTGTATCCACCACCTCTTGGCCACCTGACAGCCTCCCTCCTGGTTGCTAATGCTCATAAGCCGCATGAGCCCGCTCGGCTATAACCCAGACAAGGTCATATTAGCGATCTCTGGGGGCTCCACAGGGCTTGCCCCATGACAGGTGCACACGGCAGGAAGTAGATAAACATTTGGCAAATGCAATGATAAATGAGTGAATGTCACCCAACCTACGTGAGTCCTGAGGCCTTTGAGCACACTGTGGGTCACTCAAGGAATCAGCTTAGGGCAGGAAAAGGGCTGGGTGTATAACTCTGATCTCCAACGTAAAGGGGTTAAATTTAAAGTGAGCAGAGGAGGTAGACATCTGGCCCCTGGCTCACACTTCGTCTCCTAATTAAAGCACAGCCAGTTTCTAAAGCTGTGTCCTGCCTCATGCTGACCTGGCGGAGAAGGGGCAGGGTGCTTGGCCCCCACTGCAAACAAACGTCCTTGTCTTTCATCCCCCTTCAGGGAGCCGAAGCCTGGACAGGGAGCTGGCTTCCCATTGGTGCAGAACTGAGAGGGCAAATCCAGTGCTTCCCCATTCCCAGCTTGCCAATTAGTGGGCTAATTAGCCACAGATGTCCTCTCCCATCTCGGCAGAGTATTTGACGTTTGACCCTCAGCACAGTCGCCACTAATGCATTCAGGATTTACAGAGGAAACCTCAGTCCTGACTTAATGGATAGGGAGGGGGGAGAGCACAGCCTTGGGTCTCCCAGATACTTTCCCTGGAAATCCTGTTATCTCAGCAAGGCCCCATGTGGCAGTGAGCGAATAACCTAGAGTCATTAGGGCTCCTCCAGAAGCATAAATGAGGGGAAATAGCACTTAATTTGCTGCCTCGTTTATGTTCCAAACCTTTTTTATTTAGAAATACCAGAAGGTGGAGGAAGTTCAAGTTTATGCAGTAACTGGGCTGAGGAATGGTGCCTGCCTGGAGTTGGTGAAAAACCCAACTGGCACGTGGGGGAACGAAGGGAGGCACAGCGGTGTGTGGGCAGGAGGAGGGGCAGCAGGGCAGTGCTGCAGGCTGGCAGTGGGGAAGAGACTCAACGCCAAGCTGCTGGGGAACACGGACTGGCACGGGCACAAGGGTGTATGCGGTGTGATTCCATTTACGTGAAATTCTAGAACAGGAATCTACGGTGAGAGAAATCCAATGAGGGGTTGCCTGGGTTGGGAATGGAGGAGAGCAGAGTGTAAAGGAACATGAGGCACAATTCTGGGGTGATGGAAAAGTTCTCTATGTTGTTTGAGTGATGAGTTAATTACATGGGTAGATATACATTTGTGGAAACTCATCAAACTGAATACTGAAAATTTTTAGCATCCAGGTCTATGATGCCTGCCCCTGGCTAAAGGGACACACACACACACACACACACACACACACACACACTCTGCCACGCCAGTTCCCTCTCCGAGGAGCTGCTCACAAGGGAACCTTCTCATGAAGTGTGTGCCTATGAAGGAAGCCATTCCACTTCCTGGCTTTTCTGCCAACAGACACAATTCATGGTAGCTGTCCCACTTCCTTTTTCCTGGCACTGGAAATTAAGCTTGGCTCTGAGAGTTAAAGAAGTTCATGGCTCTTACGCAATGCTGCCTTTTCTAGCTCATATCATGCTAGAAAGAATGTCCCATTGGCTCAAAGAGCATGGTTTTACACCAAAATGTTCCAGTATGTGCTACTAATGGATTCTGGGTTAGTCTAATATCCCAGTTTGGTACCAAGGCCAGGACTTGACACAGGAGAACCAGAACAAACCGCAACATTTGCTTGAGAGAACACAACTGCCCCTTAGCCAGGATGAAACGGTCTAACAGGAGCTATTCAGGAATGCTCTATTCATTAGTCCTCCGTGTAACTCTTAGTGCAGCACAGTTTGGCTATTAAGTTGGTCAGGCTTCAGCTCTCACTGCATCTCTATTCTTGACTATACGACCTAATAGCAAGAAATTCCTACGTGGGATAAAGTATCGGCGAACAGTCCATACATATGAACTATGCAGACCCGTCCCTCATTCCCACTGGACCGCACGCAGATGATTCACTCTAGGTTTAGCTGTACCTTTTTTTTTCGTTGTGCTAAATTTCAAATCCCCAGAGAGTGCTATTCAATTTCAACTGAACAAGCACTTACCGAAATACCTATTACATGCTTCGCTTCATGATAGGGAAGCGGGGGCGCGCAGTGGGGGAACGCTGTGACATTGTGCACACAGAAGGTGGAGGCTTGGCCTCTTACCGGGGAGCCGAGACAAACCCGTGATGCAGTGAAACTGGAATCACGTAGAATACCAGTCAGAGAACAGGGGGCAGGCGTCGAGAACAGGTGATGTTCAGAAGAGGGTGAGGTTGGTGTGGTCAGAGTCAGACTCCCGGCCTCACTCATCAGTCTAGAGACAGAGCACCTCATGCCCCTCCAGCTACTGCCAAGAGCACTTGACTCTGGAGGAATCTACAATATCACGTTACATCCCTGGGTAAAAGTCTTCCATGGCTCCTCATCAGCCGCAGGGTCAAGTTTTAGCTCCTAACCCTCACATTCAAGGTTTTTCCTGATTGGACTCAGACTCTGCCAAATTTCTATTCAGTTCACTTCTAGTCACTGTACTGAGGGCCTTACTATATGCCGAGACTGTGCCAGATGCTGGGGCTACAGCAAATGAAAAGGCATGTTTCTGTTTAGCTGGGAAGACAGACAACTAATAACTAAACGTCCCAAGTACTACAGAGTTTGAATAAAGGGAAACGGAAAAGCAGATGAAGAAACGATTGATTCTGACCGGGCAGGAGTGAGAACTGGTGGAGTGGGAATCACAGAGAAAGGCCGAGTTCTCAAACAATGAGGGGCTCCAGCCTGTACTTACAGGAATCCCAGGCCGTGCGAACAGTCAGGACCAAGACTCAGAGCTGTGAAGGTATATTCCCATTCTAGGTAGTGGGGGAGGGGGTCTACAGGCAGCAGGATCCGGCAGAAGAACTAAGTGGAAGGACTACTAACCGGTAGTCACAAAACAGCCACGGGGATGAAAAGTACAGCATAGGGAATGCGGTCAGTAACACTGCAATAACTGTATGGTTCCAGGTGGGGACTGGAAATATCACAGGGACCCCTTTGTAAAGCATATGATTGCCTAACCACTATACTGTACGCCTGAAACTTATACAAAATAATACTGAATGTAAAATGCAATTGAAAAATAGAATAAAAAAAGAGGAGAGAAATTACTACAGGAAATACAGGTGAAGGGTCTAGCATATTATCGATGAATAAATAACAACTGCTGCTACTTACTGAACGCCTGTCAGTGGCCACTGCTTTATATTATTACATAGTATATATCATAATATCAAATATATTCTGTTCTCAGCTATTATTTCTCTATTTAATAGTCCCATAAGGGCCCTGGCCAGGTAGTGCAGTTGGTTAGAGCATTGTTCCAATACACCAAGGCTGCAGGTTTGATCCCCAGTCAGGGCGCATATTACAAGAATCAACCACTGAATGCATAAATGAGTAGAACAAAAAATGGTTTCTCTTTCTCTAGACAGCAATAAATATTCTTTAAAGACTCACATAAGGTATTATTAATTTGGTTGTGCAAAAGGGGTTCAGGGTACCTGGCCTGAGGTCACACAGAGGACAAACGCAGAGTCAGGATTCGCACCCGGGTCTGCCTGGTGCCAAACCCGGGCTCCTTCCCCGGTGCTGTGCAGGCCTTCCTACGGACACCACCTCGACGAAGGCGGTGCCTTCCTTTCCCTGCCTCCAGCCTAATAAACTTCAGGGACAGCGATGTGCTCATTTTATAGAAAAGGAAAATGAAACTCGGAAAGAAAAATCACTACTCAAAAGCTATATTAATAATATGGGGCCCTGGCTGGCGCAGCTCAGTGGACTGAGCACGGGCCTGCGAACCAGAGGATCGCGGTTTGATTCCCAGTCAGGGCACATTCCTGGGTTGCTGGGCAGTTCCCAGCAGGGGACACACAAGAGGCAATCATACATTGATATTTCTCTCCCTCTCTCCTTCCCTTCCCCTCTAAAGATAAATAAATAAATAAAATATTTAAAAAAATAATATGGGGCAGAGCCTGGATTTGAACTTAGGTTTGTCCACTATATGATAAATTTGGACTCAACTATGCAGGCAATGGGAAGTCCTCTCAGGTTCAAGTCCGGGAATTCACATAATCAGATGGGTGATACAATACAGTAGTTCTGAAACCAAAATCAAGTGAGGATTAAAAAGGGCAAAGCTAATGAGCAGTAAGACCATTGATGGGACATTACAACAGTTCAGGTGACAGCAAGAATAAATAAAGGAATAAAGCTCAGAGACTCATCCAAGATCTGGGTAAATGACACCTTCTCTGCAAGAGCTACCTTGTCTCCCCTAGGTTGAATTCATTACTCACTCCTCTGTGCACCTTTATATTCTAAATACCATGTTCATTTGGGTAACAATTATTCCTGTACGTGTTCCATTTCTGTACAAGGCTGTGAACCCCTACAAAGGAAGAGACTCTTACTCACGTCTAGTTCCTAGCATGGCTGGCACACAGCCGCTGCACGACAGATCGCTGGGTGGAGGGGTGGATGGCTACAAAAAGGGAACTGAAGGATGGCTAAGATCAGGGTGAAAAGGTACAAAAAGGTACAGCAAAGCTGGTGTGACCATGCCAAAGGGTCACGGTCCAGAGGGCGGGAAGGAAGATTAACGTTAGCTACTGAGAATACACCAGACTGTGAAGACTTTGGTGCCAGGCAGAGGGGAATAAACTTTATTCAGTAGACAAAGGGGAGTGAGCAACTGTAAGTTTTGAAGCAAGAAAGGTCATGGCTAAAGCAATGTATCAGGAAGGACATGCCTTTCCTTCACTATCTATCACATCTCTGGGCCAACCTCTTTCACCTTCAGCAGAAGTGCACTTGTGAAATGCAAATTCATTTGAATGTCACGCCAAGTACAACGTATTAGGATGGTAAGTTTATCTCACATCAGAGAAATGGTTTTTGAGTTATCCACACGATGGACTACACGAACCATCAGCATGAATAATGAGGAGGTCAACCAAGCTGAAGGAGGAACAACTTAAAAGCAGAGCGTTCACTCTATGCTGATCCTACTGGAGATAAAAATTCAGGCACCGGTTCCAGTCTGGTGAATTTCTGAGTGCAAAGGCTCCCACTTCCCTGTGTGACCTTCACTGTTCCCCAGGAGGCAGGAGCTGAACCACAGGTTTCCCGACATGTCCCAGGGTTCCGGGGGTGACTCAGCAGTGGGCTGGCCGCCACTGCCAATCATTCGCTCACTACCTGCCACCATCAGAAAACATATTGGGAACTGCACTCTCAGGACCCAGGAGCCTCAACAAGACCTGAAACTCCAGAGAGAGAAAGGCAGGAACAAGAGAGCCACGAGGGCCCTCCAACAAATTCACCCTTTTTTAGGCCTTGGTTTTTCTTCTCCTCTTATTGAATACACGGTTCTCTGTGAAGTGGGGAGGCCTGCTAAAGGACAGATTCATCCAAAGCACTCACTAGAGCAGAAATACGTACTAAAGATTCTTAAAGAAGCAGGGCAAGAGAGAAAGGCAGGTAAAGGAGATGCTGCGTCTGCACTAAGCAAAGACAACGCATGAACAGAATGAGGGTGTGACGTGGGAGAGAAGTGAGCAGACTTAAGAATGAATCTGTTCCTCACGCTATACACAAAAATTAACAAAATGGATCGCAAACCTAAAATAAGAGTTAAAACTATAAGAGTTTTTCTTAGAAGGAAATGTAGGAAAAGATCGCCATGACCTTGGGTTAGGCAAAGCCTTCTTAGATATGACACCAAAAGGACAAGCCAGCAAAGAAAACAGAAGTTAGACTTTACCAAAATTAAGAACTTCAGCTTCAAGAGAAAACATCAAGAAAGTGAAAAGATAACCCCCAAAATGGGATAAAATATTTGCAAATTATGTATCTGATAAGGAAACTTGTATCCAGAATATATAAAGTACTTTTGCAACTCAATAATAAAAAGGCAAATAACCCAATTAAAAGATGCGAAATGTTTTTTAAAAAATGGGCAAAGGGTCTTTTTTATTTTTTGCCATGGATCTTAACAGACGTTTCTCCAATGAAAATATATGGGGCATCGAGGTTCGATTCCCAGTCAGGGTACATGTCTAGGTTGCAGACCAGTTCCCTACAGGCCAGTTCCCAGCAGGGGACTCACAAAAGGCAACCATACATTGATGTTTCTCTCTCTCTCTCCTTCCCTTCCCCTCTAAAGATAAATAAATAAAATCTTAAAAAAAAAAAAAGAAAAGAAAATATATGGGGCCAATAAGCACATGAAAAAAACGCTCAACTTCACTAGTTACCAGGGAAACACAAATTGAAATCACAATGGGATAACATTTCACACCCACTCAGATGGCTACAATAAACAAAGACGGACAATGAACAAAGTGTTGGCAAGGGCAAGAAACCGGAACCCCCCATCCACTGCTGGTGGAAATATAAAATGGTGCAGCCACTTTGAAGAACAAGGCTGGTAGCTTCCCAAATGGTTAAACCTAGACAGTTAACCATCAGCGGCTCCTATTCCTTCTGATCCCCGGGGTGGGGCTCCACCCACACCTGGTTCTTAAAAGGGCCAACAGGTAATCAAGCTGGATCTGTCTCTTCTGGTCTCCATGCCTCACCCCTCTCCAAGGCTATCTCTTCCCTAACTACAGACCCTTTGAACAGCTTTTCATCCATTAAAACACTGGTTTCTTCTCTTTACTAGTTCTCCTCTGACAGATCCAAAGCCTTCTCCCTGTTTCCTACAACGGTCTTCCTCCACCACGTCCATCAGCCCAGGGCTGTGTCCCTGTCCACAAGGGCAGCTCACACGACCACACGGAACTCAAAGGCCTCACTTTTCCCACCTAGAAGTAAATTAATCACTTCGTGAGAGTAATTAATTTGACTGCAGATAAAGACATATCCATCCTTCCTATCTCACGCATCATCAGCCACAGACCATCATGGCCTAAATGCCTAACTGGGTGAGAAACGAAAGAATCAAAGAAAAGTGACATCTGAAACCTCCAGCTGCCAAACACTGCAACCAAGAGCCTCGGAGGTAAGGCGATCTCCAAGAAAGTCTGTCCATCCGCTGAGAACCATGTGACCCTGACGACCCCCTGGAGAATCTGGAGATCTTATACTCTTCTTCTGCGGAGATGCCTCCATTTCCCAAATGGGGACCTTTAAGTCCTGGACTTACTGCAGCCTGAGTTGGAGCAATAGAACTTGGGACTAACTGACCCCCTGAAGCTCAGCCGTCCAGGGCAACGAGGCCTAGAACCTTTCCCCTGAGGTGCTTGCTCAAGATGCCCAGAGGCAGGGCCCTTGTTCATAGTCAATGCCTTTTCAGTTAGCCTTCAAAGTTTCTTACAGATAGCAAAGAAAGAGGGTGACTGCCTAGTCCAACAGAGAGGGAACCACAGATACCTAACCCATCTGCCACTCAGAGGCTTTCACCTGGTGCTCCCATTTGAGCAGACTGATTACCTGCCTATCAGAAAACCAGGCACCATGCACACTCCCATGGACTGGCATGTGCGGGCACATACACTTGTGCATACATTCAGGTTCTCTGACAAGACTGTAATTCCCAACTCTCCTGGCACTGGGCTGAGAGATAGGACAAGGAACAGGAGGCAAAGAAAATGAAACCTGTCCCTTAAGCATGACCGCCTACCAGCAGAGTCCACAGTGCTGGACAATGATCTGCACCTTTTGGTGAGACCACAGGCAAGCTAATTGTCTACTTGAGGCCTCCATTTCTTTGTGTATGAAATAAAGGACCCAAGCTCCTCTCTGCCTAGCTGTAATGTCCCTAACTCTGGGCTCTCTACCAGTTCTCTGCACAGACAGGATGCTTTCTAATGAGAAGCAGGCAGTAGAACAAAATCAAGGACTGATTTCTAGGCAGGGACACAGGGTTCACATTTTGGTAACCCGGATTCCCTTGCAATGTTGTCATGACCCCTGAGGCAGTAGGAAGCAGAAAGAACAAACTGCTGGACTATCGGCTAGAAGCAGCTCCCAGAGGTCTGGGCATTAAACCAGTGGTACTGCCTACCCTGGCCAGGACACACACACCCCAGGACTGAAAACAGTATCCTGTCCAAGACCAAGAAACCAACAAAGACCTTGCCATACACAAGTGCTTCTCTGTATTAGATGCAAAGATCTAAAACCCTCACTCAGACTATGGTTTATCAATCGCCAACCAAAGATTCCTTTATCAAAGCAAAGTCTTACTGGCCCCGGCACCCTCCATCCTCCTTTGGTCTTAAGGGTAATTTCAAGGACTCAGAAAAGTCTGGGGGACTAATGAGCTGAAAACCACAGGAAATCCAGGCCATTAGCTTCATCTTCCTCATTCCAAACTTTTAGTTGGTGAGGTCGGTTGTTTCTAGTCCTTTTACTTCCTCTGCTCGTTCCTGGTGTAGGGAATCACAATGAGATGGTCAGAAGGCAAGGAGCAAGTGGTCAGAAAAAGAAGACCCTAAACAAACAGGACATAGAGGAAGGCCTCCAGCACAAACACTGGGCTGGGCTCCAACTTCCTGACAGGGACTGTTGGACAATCTCAGAGCACCCCAACCATCCAGGGGACCTCTCTGGTCCTAACCACCATCCATTACCACACCCTTCAAGACTATACAATAGAAAGCTAAATAAATGAGAAGTCAAAGTCTTTGCCATGAGCACCACAGGAGAACGCAGGAAGAGATTTCTACTATTAACAGTTCTTCTAATCAGGCCTCTCCTCTCAAATGGTCACATTCTCTCTTCTCCCCAACCCAGGAAGACCCTGGTAAAGTGTCTGTGGTTCAAGGAAGCCTGTGCTTCTCCAGTTGATACATCTTGTTCAAGAAGAAAAAAGGAAACCCGGGAAGGATTTCCATAGTCGGGGGAAAGGAGGCCTGGAGGATGGGAAACTTTGAGCAGCCACACCAACCAAATGACCAGAAATAGAGGGACAGTCAAGCTGGCCAATGCCACTTGCCCTGTCAACTGGACAGTGAGCGGGCAGCGGGTTGTAAGGGACAAGGGGAAAAACACATGCACAAACAGGGTGAGGTGAGAACAGAGGGAGAGGAGATGAAGGTGATGCCATCGCACCCAGGCCTTTCCTCTGCGTTCCAGGGGCGGCCCGAAACGAGCATACCAGACGCAGGAAGCCAGAGGGGCTAGAGAAAAGGGGGGCGGCGACGGCATACCACGGAGATACCAGGCCTCTGGTGGCGCGCGGGGAGTGCACATCCAACCCGAACGGAGTGCAAGGGTGGGGTGGGCGTGCAAGTGCCTTGGCGTAGGGTTGCAGCGGTCACTGGCAGGGCCCACGGGGCGAAGGCGGGGGGCGGGGCGTGGGAGCGCACGGGGAAGCTGGTTACCGTGTGGTTCACCCCCCACATCAGGACGCTGAGGATCGGCTCGCTGGCTCGGAATAGCTTCACTTTCTGGCACACGAAATGCTTCTTCTTGGTCTTGGTCTTGCTGGCGCTGAGCGGCGCCACCGCCACCGCCGTGGTGCTGGTGCAGTTGGACGACATGCCCGGGGCGGCGGCGGCGGCGAGAGGGGGGGAGGCCGAGACGGCACACAAGCCAGCGGCCCCAGGCCTCCCCGGGACCGATCCCCACCCCCGCTCCCTCACCACGCCATGGTCGCGCCCGTCCCGTTACCTCCCCACCCCACCCCGGTGGTTCCGTCCGCACCACGCTCCGCCCACTCCACCCCGCCCCACGGGAGCTTGCGGTTTGCTCTGCACTCCGCCCCTGGGCGGTGCAGCGCTTTTGCTGTCTCCAGGCCCTCTCCTCCCTGCTGGGGTGGTACCGCCCGTCCCGGGGAGGCAGCGGCCACTCCACCCGCCCCTCCTCCCCGGGTCTGACAGAGACCGAGCAGGCCTACACGCGCCTCACAGCCCTGCGCCCAAGCAAGGAGGGGAGAAGGGCTGGGTGGGTCTCGCTGTCTACCGCAGAAGAGGGTCCCTCTCTGGGCCCCCAAAGCCAGGGTTTGGCTCTTTCCTGCAACCTGACGTGCCAAGATGGCGGCACCACCACCGCTTGGGAGGGGAGAAGGGGCGGGAAATGTGAGGGTGGGATGTACCATTCCCACCCCGAGGGAGAGAGGAGGAACACAGCCAAGGGAAAAGGAAGTCCTGCCGGGAAAACCAAGGAACGCCCCCTCGCCCCACCCAAGCGTGGATCTTCCCACTCCCCTGGGTTTAGGGCAATGCTCCACCCGCGGGGCACGCCCCTTTTCCCCAGGGCCAATGAGAGGAGGCTGCCGGGAACCTTGGGTTTTATGAATGGGTTCCGCACCCACCCACCTGCTGCGGGCCGCCTCCTGCCAAAGGGTCAAGAGACCGCTGGCACCTTAAGGCACCTGTCCCACAGCAGAGGCAAAATCGTCTTATTCTCTGGCTCACTTCATGAAATCCTTGAGTAAACTGCCCACTCTTTGTAAGCATAATTATTTTCGAACCAAAGGTTTCCAGGTATTTAACCCAAATGATGGCATAGTGTTCTTTGTGGAAATCTGTAAATTTGGTTCTCAGCACATGGTCGCTCTTTAGACAGTTACAAAAATAAATGTATCCTTTATTACCAAGTAATATAAAATACATAATTAACCCTAGTGTAGGGGAACAGGATGAGGTGATCAAATGAGTAACAAGTGTAGGCTACTTTGTCTCTGGGGAAAGAGTGAGTTTTAAATATTACAGTGTCTGGCATCATAAGCACTCAAAAAAAATCCAACTGCATTTTAAGCAAAATTAGGAATTAGAAGAAAAGCAATGAGCTCTGCTAATGTGTGGGTCAAGAATGCCTAAGAAGAGTTCAGGAGTCAAATGAGGGCTTGTGGTAAAAGAACAGAGAAGGTAAAGGAGTGAAGACAGGAGCCTGGTCCCATAAGTTTTTAGGTTTTTTAATAACTGACTAAAAAACAGTAACAAACAAATCCAGAAAATGGAGAATTATTGTAATAAGATTACTACCTGATAAAAGGGAAGCTATGATATCAACAGCTTCCATTTTATTTTAAGAGCCAGGGAGCACACAGGCAACTGGGTCCTGACTCATAAAATCATCTGACTTTATCACTGCACTTCCCACATCAAGACTCTAACCAGTGTAAAAGGACAGACACCTCAGATCCTATCAGTGATCCCAGGCCCCTCCTGAACTACCCCGATTTGCAGAGAGGAAAAAAAGAGCTGACCTACCTTACTGTATAACTCCGTAACAGGATACAATATGGTTCCATTAAAGTCACTTACCACACAAGATAGTCTCACAAAGCTAACTTTTTTTAAAAAGCATGTAAAAATGACCATTTGTACCTATACTCACTATACTTTTACAGTTTGAAAGACAATCCAATGGGTCAACAGTTCATTTAGGGATTCTTAAATAGTTTCCCCTTCTAGATTCGTTTGTCACTCCCTTGGCTCTGCCCTAACCTGACATCATTGTCACATTGTCACACAATCAAACAAATGTTCATTAAACACGATCTATTTTAGTGACTCTGGAGAGGGAAGTTTCTAAAAGGTCTCGTATATACTGAGGTGGAGGGATAGGTGTGTTCACACAGGTGGGAGGGAAGTGGCATAAGAAGAATCGAGACCACAAGGGAGCAGCCTTTCACAGTAGGAGTGCTCGCACTTAGACGGTCTGGTACCCACCCTACAAAAAGTCAAAATCCACTCTGCACCCAGCCAAAGTTGCTGAGGGTCCCATAAAGCTAATCACACTAGTTCTCAAAGGTATAGCTATTTCAGGAATCAGTGGAGGAAAGTCACTTTGAACAGTGGTCGTTTGACGTCTGTGGAAGAAGTCACCTGAACTCTTAACTCTTATAAAGAGAATGTTTAAGGGGTCAGCAGCTTCCCTGGAAAATTCCAGAAAATCAGTGAGAGAGAATGGTTTTCATCTTTTCATAAAGTTCTTCTCCAGAGCTACTGAGGTTCTCTGTAGAGAGTAGATATTCCGCTTCACCCGATCCTCCAGGGAGGAGGTAGACGCACTCTCTAGCTTCATGCGGCTGGAGAGAGAAGACAGACAAATATAAGTGATACACGTGTCAACCGGTCATCCAGCAAAGTGAGAAGAAACAGGTTGCTGGCCACAAGGAAGAAACAAGCTCTTTTAAGCCCACAAAGATGACTTTCAAGGGACTCCATCTGGAACTCAATTTTTTAAACCAGTTCCAAAGGGAAATTTTATCTTTTTTCGAAAATAGACAAAGCCTCATTGGAAAAACACTCCCTGAGCCATGAATCCTTATTTAAAAGGAAGGCCAATGAGATTCAATGAAAATATCAATTCCCTTCTCCTCCCCTCAAATCAAAGACATTCTACTCTCTGACCAGAAGCTGGGAGGAGTACCAAAGATGAGCTGGAGGCTGAGCTCCATGTTCTCTCCGCACAGACACAGAAACACGGGAATGAACAGTGTTTGAAACAGAAGCAATGAAGGAACCAGCCGCCCAACTGCATCCTTGGGGACCATAACTGTGAAAGCGGTCAGGCAGGATGTAGGTGCACTCACTGGATAAACTTCCCATCCCGAGAGTCCAGCTTCTCCAGCCGCCGCTCTCGTTCGTCATCCTTAGCGTGCTTCTTAAGGATGTTCAGTCTCTCTTCTTCCCGCCACTTGGCGTTTTCCATCATCTCTTGCCGTTTTCGCTCGAGTTCTTCTGATGAGAGCTTTCTTTTGAACACAAAAATCATCCTGTCAGGTCTACTTCTCTCCCAGCAAAAAAAGGGAACCACCTCAGGGAAAAGAGAAATCAGGTAGGACCCCAGGTCCTCCAGCTCACTGCTCTTCCCACAGACACGCCCAACCAACTGTCCAACTCGACGTGCGTTTCCTTCCTTCCTAACATCCTGATCAAATGGTTTCATCCAAGTTTCAAAAATTTAGTGAAGTATTCCACACCCTCATTCAATAAGCTCTGGAGTGATTATTCTGAAATATTAAATACAAAATATTCCAATCGATTGCTCAACAACTTACAGAACACAGGTGGCAAACACAAGGCCCAAGGGCCGACCAGCCCTCCACCTTGTTTTATTCGGCCCGGCACCTTGTTTCTACCCAATGGCAGTGCTGAGCTCTCGCTTAACTGTTAAGGAGTAGTTACATTTACACAGTCCTACAGTTACATTCAGCCCTTTGCAGGCAATGGTGGGGCTGATGTGGCCCCAGTGAAAATGAGTTTGACACCCGTTATAGAAGAACAGAGGACTAAGTTATCCATGTGACTACTGACATCTACCATCTACCCACTGGAGATGCCTAGAAATTCATGGGATTAGTACGCTAGAAGCCAGATGCCTGAAGAACTTAACCTCACAAAGGAACAGGAGGGTCTTCTTTCCCAGCACTCTCTGCAAATGCAGTTTGGGCAAGAAGAATAGGTGATGAACCAGCGCAACCACTATTTAACAATGTCAGACACCCAAATCCATTGCTTCTCAAATGGGTGTGATGTGTAGATCCCCTTTTAAAAGCAAAAAATATTACCAAAGTCTTGCTAGTGCCCTAGCTGGTGTGGCTCAGTGGACTGAACTCCAGCCTGTGAACCAAAGGCTTGCTGGTTCAATTCCCAGTCAGGGCACATGCCTGGGTTGCAGGCCAGGTCAGGGCCCCAGTAGGGGGTGCACAAGAGGCAACCACACATTGATGTTTCTCTCCCTCTCTTTCTTCCTCCCTTCCCCTGTCTAAAATAAATAACATCTTTTTTTTTTAAATTAAAACAACAACAACAAAGTCTCATAAGGGAGGGGACTGAGAGCCCAGTTTTCAGAAACAAACTTAAGATACTAAAACTAGACATTAATTTATGTACAGTGAAATGGTACACTCCCTTTCAAAAACCCCCCTAAATAAAATATATAAAACCACAAAGACAATGAGGAAAGGAGAGAACACTGGAGAAGAGATGCCAACAAACTGTTGGAAGACAGAGTAGATGAGAGGGTAGTAAATGCTTTAACAAACTGGCGGAAATGGAACCCCAAGTGCCCAATACTGATCAGAAGTAAAATCTGGGAAAGGCTCAGAGACCACCGGCCTCATGTGCTTTGGGGGACGGCAGCAAGGCACAGGGCTGAAAACAAAAGAACCAACTTCAAGCCTGTGTAAGAGGCAATTAAGACACTGCTGGTCCTCCGCCTCACTTGGGGAAGCACATGACTGCTCTACCAAAGGCCTACAGAAGACCGTCCTGAGGGAGACTCCTTCACCAGTATCTGGAGAACTAAACCAACAGACAGGAGACCAGAAGGTGCAGAGGCAGCAGGTACAGCAAAGGAAGCTGGCAGGGCCACCAGGGCAAAAAAGGGACAAAACATCAGTTTACATACTCAACACTGGGGCTCTAGCCCCGTCTTCCAGAATGCCAGCAGCCAGACCTAAAGCCACTGGTCAGACAATCAGAGAATGTTTCCTCTGGGGAAATTTAATGGTTCCTGACAAGAGAACCAAAGATATGGATATCTGAGTGTCACCAGCTGAAAAACAGTTCAAACCTAGACAAAACCTGCCCATACATAATAGAGTGATATCAGCTTTTTAGTACCTCGCTCTGAAATATGCACCGATGGTGAAATTATCACCAAGCATTTCAGGAAAGGCTCTAATCCGAAAAATAGACATATGCAAAAGGAAAAG